TAACAGTGAAATATCACTTCATACCTCCCAGACTGATAAGAAACGAAGTTCTATATCAGGATAGGTTTGGTTAAGCTGCAGTAACAACTGCAACAAGTCAGGCACAGTGGCTCATGCCTGTAATCCCAGCACTCTGGGAAGCCAAGGTGAGAGGATTGCCTGAACCCAGGAGGTTAGAAGCCAGCCTGGGCAACTTGGCAAGATCTCATCCTTACAGTAAATCAAAAAATTAGCCGGGCATGGTAGTGTGCACCTGCAGATCCAGCTACTTGGAAGGTTGAGGTGAAAGGATTGCCTGAGCCCAGCAGGTTGAAGCTGCAGCGGCTGTGTGTGCCCCTGCACTCCAGCCTGCATGACAGAATAAGACTCCGACTAAAAACAAAAGAAAAAGAAAAGAAAAAAACCCCCTGCAACATCTCATGTCTTAAAGCAACAACAGTTTATCTACTTCTCTCTTATGCCACACATACTCACTTTGGGTCCACTTGGGAGCACTGTACTACCTAATCCTCAGAGACCCAGGCTCTCTGTAAGGCTCTGTGCCCACACTTTCAAAAATGCCAAAACAGAAAAAAAGATAAAATTGTGCACTGGCTTTTAAAAGTTTTGCCTAATATACATTGATCTCTGTTCACAAAAATTAAAATAAAAAAAAATAAAAGTTTTGCCTAGGGCCAGGTGTGGTGGCTCACACCTATAATCCCAGCACTTTGGGAGGCTGAGGTGAGAGGACTGCCTGAGCCCATGGGTTCAAGACCAGCACGGGCAACTTGACAAGACCTCATCTCTACAATAAATTAGCTGGGCATGGTGGCTCATGCCTGTAGTTCCAGCTACTTGGAAGGCTGAAGTGGAAGGATCGCCTGAGTCCAGCAGGTTGAGGCTGTGGTGGCTATGAGCATGCCACTGCATTTTAGCCTGGGTGACAGAGTGAGACTCAAACACACACAAAAAAATAGATAAAATAAAAGTTTTGCCTAAAAGTGACACGTGTCACTTCTACTCAAGCCCTGCTTAGCTAAAGCAAGTCACATGGCTACTTCAAGAGGGCATAGAAGTACAATTCTACTACGTGTCTGGAACAGGAAAGAGCTGCAAATACTTGTTTTAACAGCACTAATGATTATCACACTGAGAATATCAACTTCTGGTGAGCATACAGAGCAATGGGAACATACTCCCCATGGGTGGGAGTATAAATTGATACAAACACTCTGGAAACGTTTTGCATTATCCAATAAAGTGGCAAATGCTAAGGCCTATAGTCAGAATCTGCATTGGGCCTTGGGCCTCAGACTTGTCTTTTGCTCCTGCTGCCTTACTGGTGGCTTTGTGTTTCCCTTTCTTCTCCTTCTTAGAGGTTCCATCTATGGCCCAATAATTTCACTATTAAGAGAAACACATGTTCCAAAAGAAATGTATACAAATGTACAATAGCATATATTTTCAGGAACATTCATGGTAGCATGTTTCATAACAGCCCCAAGCTTGAAACAATCCAAATCCACAAGTCATAGAATGGCTGAATTATGGTACATTTATATAATGGAATCCTATGCGGCTATAAAATTAAACCACCTAAGGTATACACAACAAAATGAATGATTCTTACAAATAATACGGAGAAAAGATGGTAAGACACAAAATATATGTTATAATTCTGAAAGTTACCTCGGAAGCATACTCTGAATTACTAGACAATGAATTAGTTTGAACTGGGGTGGGGGGGGCAGAGAGTCCCTCTTCTCCTAGTGAGACTGGTTGTACAACTTCCCACAGGACCTGAAACTGTCTCCTCCAGATGTATCATCCCATAGGCCTCTAAGTTTTCAGGTGCTGGGCAGGTCGCCTTCCCAGACAACTTCTGTAAACAGCTGGACTCAAATACAGATTGACTGGTGTCCAAGCACTTTTGTGTCTCTTCACTGGTGAGGCTACTCTCACAGCTGCCTGATCAAAAGAGAGCACTTGGGAGAGGGGGTGAGCAGGGGTCACTACACCAAAGACTGATCCTAATACACCTCTCCATAGGGACAATAAGAGAATGAGGGACCTGTACCTTCTTTTGTGGTAGAGAGGGGCTAAAAACAGTTAAAATTATTCCTTTTTAAAAATCAACCCACAAGCTCCAAACCTGCTAGACACAGGACATGAGAAAACTAAATAGTTACAAGCCGCTTTCCTGGAAATGCAAAGATAATAATCGATTGATGACCTTATCCCCAAATCCTCTCTTTGTGAAGTTATCGGTTTATAGCCGCTACTTGTCATGTATACCCTAGAGACAACTCATTCTTTGAGAACCTGGTTTTGCTAGATACCACTTTGCAAATTCCAAAGAAAAATGTATAGCCATACAACCCAACCCCCTGCCTTACCTAAACTAACAGATAAAACCCTTCTCTTTCTCCGGGTTACTCAGCCTTGGAGCATTAGCCCACTGAGTCATGCCAGCGCTGATAAACCGCTACTTCCTAAGATAGCCTCGGTGTCACAGTCTCTCTCTTTTCCCACAACGTTTCTACTTGGAAAACATCCCTTTCCCTAATAAAATCTATCCTTTAATCTATACTCTAAGATGCTGAGAAATTCATCTCCAGCCTGGTAAGCAACAGGTGGCATCCACAAAGGAATCCACTTTGCCTACCAGGTGTTAACACCAAAGGTAACATCTTGAATTTCACAATTTTAAAAATTATATTTTAAAATAATAACAGCCAGGTGTGGTGGCTCACATCTGTAATCCTAGCACTTTGGGACGTGGAGGTAGGAGGATTGCTTGAGCCCAGGAGTTCGAAATCAGCCTGGGTAACAGAGAGAGACTGCATCTCCACCAAAAAAAAAAAAAAATTAAAAAATTTGCCAGGCATAGTGGCATATACCTGTAGTCCCAGCTACTCAAGAGGCTGACACAGGAGAATTGCTTGAACCCAGAAGTTGGAGCTGCGGTGAGCCGTGATCATGCCACTGCACTCCAACCTGGGTGACAGAGTGAGACCTTGTCTCAAAAACAAAAAACTAACAAATAAAATATAAATCAATAAAAATAATAACAATAAGGCCTCTAGAAGACACTCCACCATTTCCCTCATATAATCAAGTCTCTCTAATAATATTAACCTTTTCTCCCTTCTATTACCAAAGAGGGCCAGGTGTAGTGGCTCATTCCTATAATCCCAATACTTTGGGAGGCTGAGTCAAGAGGATTACTTGAGTTTAGGAGTTCAAGACCAGCCTAGGCAACCAAGTGTGGCAGGTGCCTGTAGTCCCAGTTACTTGGGAGGCTGAGGCAGAAGAACTGCCTGAGCCCAGGAGACTGAAGCTGCTGTGAGCCATGATTGTGCCACTGTACTCTACCCTGGGTGACAGAGACCTCGACTCAAATAATAATAATAATAATAACAACAACAACAATAATAATAATCATAGGAATAGGAACTAGATTTGAACTATGGCTCTCCTTGACAGAAATTACAAGATAGCAGCACCTTTAACAACTGAAACACACAAAATAACTAAATGCTTGCAAAGAGAGGGTGCTAAGAAATCTCTGAAGTTTCCAAAATCCTTTCATATGAAAGGAAGGGTGACTCAAAAGCATGTGAGTAATGGAAGTCTTGTGAGGCTCTCGCGGAGTCCCAAGTCAAGTATCTAAAGAAGAAACAAGGTTTTGTGATTCTCCTGCGCCAGCCTGCTGATAAAGCCAGAGTCAAGCCAGATGGTGATAGAGAAAACTTCACTCCATTCCAATGTCCAAACTTAAGAATGTGCTCACTGCATGAGCCTGGAAAGTGGCATCTGCAAACCCTAGAAGAGTCCATTGAGAAGGAAGATCACACTGGAGAACTACAAGAAAGTCCTCTAGCAACACTAGCTATGATGGATCTAAAAACTCCTACCTTGTATGATGAAAACAGAATAAAAAAGGATCATGGCTTAGCAATGAATAGATGTCTCCTAAAAATCACCTCTGTCCAAGGGCCATGAATCATAGTGACAACAAGTAGCTGAAGAAAAACCAGGACTAAGCAAACCTAAGATGAACCAGCCTCCGCTAGCAAACAGCAGTGGTGACAGTATGTGCCCAGTGGATAAATGTGGCAATTCCTATCCCCTTGCTGGCTATCTCCCATGTTTAATGTGGCATATGAGGGGACAGGCCATGTCACAGCTATGCTAGCAAACAAATCGGAGAACACACACTTGGGAATACTTTAATTCTGCCTCTAACAGTCTGCTTTCCTACAGAATATCAGCTAACCTCAAATGATGTTATAGATGTCTTAGTCACTATATTGCTCTTTGAGAGAGACATAATTTTACCAGCTAACTCAAAGTCCCTGTGTCATGATTATTCCAAAGTTTCACTGTCACTGGTCTATGCCTAGGAAATTTCTTTCTTTTTTTTTTTTGAGTTGGAGTCTCACCCTGTCGCCCAGGCTGGAGTGCAGTGGCCACAGCCTCGGCCTGCTGGGCTCCAGCGATTCTTCCGCCTCACCCATCCAAGTAGCTGGAACTACAGGCGCGAGCCACTACGCCCGGCTGATTTTTTGATTTATTGTAGCGATGAGGTCTCGCCAAGTTGCCCAGGCGGGTCTCAAACCTGCGGGCTCAGGCAATCCACTCACCTCAGCCTCCCAAAGCGCGGGATTATAGGCTGAGGCACCGAGCCCGGCTGGAAACTAACTTCATAATCAACATAAAACCATTAATCTTGCCAATGGTCAGACAGCCAATGACATCACTGTTCTATACCAAGAAATCTGTCTATAAATAGATGAACCATGATATTGGTTCATTAATAATCTTATGCATATTAAAACTGTTAATAGATCCCAGCAAAAAGAAAAAAATACCTACACTACTAAACTTATTAAATAAAATAGGTTCTAGGACTGTCTCAGAGTAAAAACCTTAAGAAAGAACATGAAGGTAAAGAGGTGACCAAAGATGCCCAAGGCTCTTAGTTTTCCAGGAGCCCTGGACTAGGATGAATGTACCTTATCCATATGGAAGATCAAATCCAATTCACACACATTTTCGAAACACTTATCCAGAGTCTCCACAAAAACCTAGGAAACAAACAGAAATAGATAAAGAAGAGAAACTGGAACATATTCATGACTTCATCAATGTCACATTTGAAAGGAAAGGGGCCAGGCACAGTGGCTCACACCTGTAATCTCAGCACTTTGGGAGACGAAAGCAAGAGGATTGCCTGAGCCCAGGGGTTCGAGCCCAGCCTGGGCAACTTGGTGAGACCTCATTCCTACAATAAGTAAAAAAATTAGCCAGGCGTGGTGGCACATGCTTGTAGTTCCAGCTACTTGGAAGACTCAGGTGGAAGGATCGCCTGACCCCAGCAGGTTGAGGCTGCGGTGGCCATGAGCGTGACACTGCACTCCAGTCTGAGCGACAGAGTGAGACTCCAACTCAAAAAAAAGAAAAAAAAAAAAGGAAAGGAAAGGGGGCAGTCATGATACTATTCACCTTAGAATATCTCTCAAAGAAAAAAAAAAGCCTACCTTTGTCTCCAGCATTAGCTATTCCCCTACTTATCCCAATTCAGAGGGGCCAATCTAGGTCGGGAAAACCTTGTTTTTAGTATAGCAGAGATGCTGATTTACATAAAATGACAAATTAAAATACCACTACTTACAATGCTATGAACTTTTTTCCCCAGGGCTTAATGTATACATGTACAAAAAAATTTATTACTGTGTTAACATAGCTTTGTCTTCTTAATTTCAGTTAACACTGATTTCAAAACACCTTTTCATGAATCAACTTAATTTACATTTACAACTTTTTAATTTAACTTTTAACAAAACTCAACAGAAAAGTGTACAAATGATAAGGGCATAGTTTAATGAATTTTCAGAATGAACATAACGTATAACTATCATCCAGATACCTGCCACTAACTTTTAAATTTCTCCCTCAGAGACATTACTGACTTGTGTTAAAAAGTTTATAATACATATATTTTAGCAGCAGGCATGGTGGCTCATGCCTGTAATTCCAGCACTTTGGGAGGTGGAGGCAAGAGGATTACCAAAGCTCACAGGTTCAAGACCAGCTTGGGCAACATGGCAAGACCTCTTCTCTACAATAAAACAAAAAATTAGCTGGATGTGGTGGTACATACCTGGAGTTCCAGCTACTTGGAAGGCTGAAGCTGAAGGATCACCTGAACCCAGCAGGTTGAGGCTGTGGTGGCCATGATTGTGCCACTGTATTTTAGCGTGGGCAACACAGTGAGACTCTTAAAATAATAAATAAATATCTCAAAAAATAAATAAATGAATGAATAAAACAATGTGAAACTGGTGGGGTTCGGTGGTTCAGCCTGCAATCCCATGCTTTGGGAGGCCAAGGTGAGTGGATTGCCTGAGCCTGTGGGTTCAAGACCCGCCTGGGCAACTTGGCGAGACCTTATCTCTACAATAAATTGAAAAATTAGCCAGGCATAGTAGCGGGTGCCTGTAGTTCCAGCTACTTGGAAGTCTGAGCGGAAGGATCACTGGAGCCCAGCAGGTCAAGGCTGCAGTGGCCGGAAGCATGCCACTGCACTCCAGTCTGGGTGACAGAGTGAGACTCCAACTCAAAAAACAAAACAAAACAAAACAAAACAATGTGAAACTAATGCAGAAAGAAAAATGAAACTCAGTGGAACAAAATGAAGAGTAAAAACTAAATCCAAGTACGTATTAAATGTTTACTGCATCAATGTTTCACAAGTGATTACTATATGCTAGGCACATACCATTCTACTCTGGGGTCACCATGGTCAAGTCACATTCTTATCCAGCTTATATTCTGGGTGTGGGAAGAACAAGGAGGCAAATAAATAAGGTCTTTTCTATCGTCATAATGCCTTGAAGGAAGTAAACAGGATGATGTGACAGGAAGTCTCTCTGAGGATTAACATTTGAGCTGAGATACAAATGAAGAAAAGAAGTCAGTCATTCAAAGAGTTGAAGAGTAAAGAGATCTAGATGAGAGCCATCTCGAGAGGAGAACAAGTGCAAAATCCTAAAGGCAAAAATGTACTTGTGTGTGAAGAAAAGCAAGACTAGAATACAGAATACAGTAAAGGTGAGAGTGTGTATGGTGAGAGTCAGACAGAGAGTCAAAAGAGCCAGATCACATGCCTTATGTGGAGTTTGGATTTTACTCTAAACTTAACATGTTACACAAAAGTTCCTTGGAAAAGGGGAGGTAAAAATTGATTATTTAAGTTCAATATAATAGCTTAGAAAAAAAATAGTTTGGAAAAAATAAGTTAGTTTTAAAATACACTGAAAATACAGATTTTTTTGTTGCTTACAAGGCAAACCACTATTTTATGTGCTAATAAAAAAAACTGTCAATATAATTATGTCATCTACTATACTATGCATCTGATTTGTGATAAAAAGTGTGTCTTGAAATAGATAAAATATACAATAAACTAGGACCTAGATTTCACTGGACAGGTGGTTCAATTATATTATAGAAGGTTGACACAGAAAATATGATTGTAAACAAACACATGGAAAAAGTAGGCATGATTAATAAAAATTCAGACATTTATGAGTTATCTCCATCTCTGAGTAGAAAATTAAAATGACATATTTCAGTGTTGGAGCTAGGAGGAAATAAGCTTCATAGTATTGGAGGCATTGTAAATTAATATAGCCTTCTCCATCTTTCCTCCTGTTCCCTTGTGGAGAGGGAATGTGTGCCAGCCAGGGTAGAGGAATAAGAACCTCAGCCTGGGGCTGGCCCAGGGTCTCTGACTCAGCTGGTAGTTATCGAGCTGAGAGGCCCCTCCCTATAACCTCTGTGTGGCCAGTACCCGCCATCACTACCAGTAACTGCTGTAGTCCCACACTCTGGAGGCCTGGGAACTGGCTTAAGCCTCGGAAGGCTGGAGAGGCAGACAGCAGCACTTCTCCCCAGCTCTTCTCCCCAACCTGCCTCTTCACCAAGGGGCCAGGCCCTACCTGTTTGGTTGTGAGTGGGCTAACTATCAAGATATGTGTCATGTACATTTGTATCAAAAATAAAGAAGTAACCAAAAAAATTAATATAGCCTTTCTAAACATCTATCGAGCAACATATATTATCTTTAGAAATATTCATTCACTTTGACTCAGGCATTGTTTTCAGCTGAGTATGAATAGACACACCAAGACTTTAAGTCTGCATGAAGACTTATAGTAGCTTTACTCGTATCTATTAAAAATAAAAAGGAAAAGGAGACAAAGTATTTAGTGCCTGTTCTCCTAGGTGCTCTGCTGACTGGATCAGCTGAGAACACTCATTTTACCCCCATGGAAATGTTCTGCTTTGACCTTGTGACACAGAGAGGCAGGTTATGGCAAGCTTAGAAGCAGAAAATGAAATGTCGAGTCCATGTTCCTGCTAGATAGTCAGAGTCCAATGCCCTGACTGTGGTGAGCAGTAGGTTTTCCAGAACTCACTCACACAGCTTTGTCCTCTGACTTCCCCAGAAACTCATGTAAACTCTTAGGAACACTGAAGCCAGACCACAATCAGTCCACCTTTCGGTGATAACTTATCTCATTCTTTACTATGCTACTTCTTCATTTCTTTTTATTTTATTTTATTTTATTTTTTGAGTTGAAGTCTCATTCTGTTGCCTAGGCTGGAGTGCAGTGGCACACTCATGGCCACTGCAACCTCGACCTGCTGGGCTCAGGTGATCCTTCCACCTCAGCCTTCCAAGTATCTGAAACTGCAGGTGCATACCACCACACCCAGCTAATTTTAAGGTCCAGCTAATTTTTCTTGATTTACTGTGGAGATGAGGTCTCACCAAGCTGCCCAGGCTGGTCTTGAACCCCTGAGCTCAGGTAATCCTCTAGCATCCGCCTCCCAAAGAGCTGGAATTATAGGCATAAGCCACCACACCCGGCATGTCTTCATTTCTTTTTGTATCACTCATTAAAATTTGTCTGTTAAAAATAGAATAAGAGATATCCTTTTCATGAATACCTATAGATTTTTTTCCCAAGATAACACTGGCTATAGCTCTTGGTTTTAAAACTAAAATTGGACCAGGCACAGTGGCTCATGCCTATAATCCCAGCACTTTGGGAAGCTGAGGTGAGAGGATTGCCTGAGCCCACAGATTCAAGACCAGCCTGGACAACCTGGCAAGACCTCATCTCTACAATAAATCAAAAAATTAACCAGGTGTGGTGGCACATGCCTGTAGTTCCAGCTACTTGGAAGGCTGAGGCGGAAGGATCACCTGAGCTCAGTAGGTAGAGGCTGAGGTGGCTGTGAGCATGCCACTGCACTCCAGCCTGGGCAACAGAGACTTCAACTCAAAAAAAAAAAAAATTAAAATTAAAATTGGTTGCTTCGAGGGAAGTACACTAGGTGACTAAAGAAAAAGAGCAGGAAGATATTTTTCACTGTACAGTGAACATCCCAAATCCAAAAATCCAAAATTAAAAATGCTCCAAAATCTAAAATGTTTTGAGTGCTGACATGATGTGCAGAAATGCTCCTTGGGTATTCCAGATTTTGAATTTTCAAATTTGAGATAAGTATAATGCAAATAATCCAAAATCTGAAAAAGTTCAAAATCCAAAACTCCTAAGCATTTTGAATAAAGAATATTCAACTCATAGTATTTCTTTTGAATTTTGAACCACATAAATGTATTATTTCTTCAAAAGTACACAGCTTACACTAAATAAATGTACATTTTTAATCAAACAAAAATGCTTCTTATTCCAATTTAAGAGTATTTGCCAAGAATATAATTTGGATAATCAATAAAAAAGAAAACTCTCAGTAACTACTGATACTGTTATATTATCTTACTGCCGTAATAGACTCTATAAGAACTTTTGCTTGTTAAATTGACATGCATTCTTGACATAAGAACAATTTGGACACAATAATTCTTCTATTATGTAGTATTCCTGCTAGAAAAAAAATTTTAGGGCTAGAAAAGAATATCTAGTATCTTTATAGATCAAAACAAAAAACAAAAAAAACCCAAACGTACAGAAGAGACAAAATGCAAAACAAACAAAAACCCTTAAGGTCCTTAAATATTAAGCCTAGATGACTTGCTTAAGAGCACACTACTTGTTAATTGGAGAGTCAAAAATTGGTACAAAATTACTAATTGAAAAAAAAAAAGAGCCAGGTTTCACAACTCTTGGGTTCAACTGATTGTCGGCTAAGATTTCAATTAGTAATTTTGCACCAATACTAATATGCAATATTTGAACAACATTTTCCTTTTTTAGAGTCAGGTTTTTGGATGATAACCAATTTACTCCATAAAACATACTTAAGTAGTATAATTTTTTTGTTCTAAGTTTTAAAAAAATAACTTAATTTAATTTAAAGACTTTACTGTACTTGAAAATTCCCTTTAAAAATTCTACTGTAAAGCCCATTAGGGAATCAGTTCTTTCTTCTTACAAAAAAAAAGTAGAAGGTTTCTTTCCTCCATGCCAACTCTGGCATGTCTCTGCTTCTTTTCTCCCTTCTTTCTCTAATAAACTTTGTGTGAAAACTTTGAGGGAAAAAAAGTAAAACAAATCATCTCAGAGATTAATAATTTTTAGATGTTTTCATCATTCATTTATTCTTTTATATATAAGTGATATGATGTATAAGGTTTTAATTAACTAATTAATTAATTCGTTATTTTTAGAGATAGGGTCTCACTCTGTTACCCAGTCTGAAGTATAGTGGTGTAATGATAGTTGACTGAAGCCTCACAATATGGGGCTCAAGCAGTCCTCCCACCGCAGCATCCCAAGTAGCTAGAACCACAGGTTTGAACCACCACACTCAACTAATTTTTCTTTTGGTAGAGACAAGGTCTCACTATGATGCCCAGGCTGATCTCAAACTCCTGGACTTAAGCAATCCTCCATCTTGGCCTCTCAAAGCACTGGAATTATAGATATGACCCACAGTGATGGGCTTAAATACAATTTTCAATTAATTATCTCAAATAACTTTCCAAATATAAATGAGTTTAAGCACATGCATAAAATAAAAAAAATTTAAAAGGTGCTATGTTCAAGTAGAACATCAATTTTATAGGAGTTTGTTGAATTTGAAACAAAAATAACATGTTCAAAATTTCAATTTATCTCTACATATATTAAATTTAGCTTCCTTAATTTTATCTTTAAAAATGACATATTGTCATTATTTAAAATTTACCTTTTTTTTTTTTTCAAGTTGGAGTCTCACTCTGTCCCCCAGGCTGGAGGGCAGTGACCACTCCCAGCCACCGCAGCCTCGATCTGCTGGGCTCTAGCGATCCTTCCGCTTCAGCCTTCCAAGTAGCTGGAACTACAGGCGTGCACTATCATGCCCAGCTAATTTTTTGATTTATTGTAGAGAGGAGGTCTCACCAAGTTACCCAGATGGGTCTCGAACCCACAGGCTCAGGCAATCCACTCACCTCAGCCTCCCAAAGGCACGGGATTATAGGCTGAGCCACCGAGTCCGGCTTAAAGTTTACATTTAATAGCTAGTGAATTTTCTTTTCCACAATTATTGTTAATTAAGGTTTTCAACATAGGCTTCTATTTGAGTGCTTTCTACCTATGGGGCTTATTCAAGTCACTTAAAAGATACCCACCTAGAATCTCATGTAGAAAATGATGGGATTGTACTAAATGAATGGTACCCAAGCTAGGGTCTTTACACATTTCAGCTTCCATGAAGGTAATGAAAACAATCTGTAAGAAACTTCTAGCTTTCTTTTTTTGTTGGTTTTTTTTGGGGGGGGGGGGTTAAGTTAGAGTCTCACTCTATTGCCCAGGCTGGAGTGCAGTGGCATGATCACAGCTCACTGTAGCTTCTACCTCCTGGGCTCAGGTGATCCTTCCACCTCAGTCTCCCAAATAGCTGGGACTATAAGCGTGTGCCACCATGCTCGGCTAATTTTTGGTAGAGACAAGTTTTCTTTGTTGCCCAGGCTGGTCTTATCCTCCTGGGCTCAAGCAATCCTCCAGCATCAGCCTCCTAAAGTTCAGGGATGACAGGCATGAGCCATCATGTCCACCTGGCCCACAACTTCTAATTTTCAACAAGCCTAACAAAAATCATGCTGACCTACATCAAGATTGCATAGACTAACTAAAGCATCAAGTTTCTTTGCATTAGGATAGAATTATAAATGAAAATTTAAAACTATTGGCTTGTTACTTGAAAATTTGGCTTGACAGTTGGAAAAAAAGACTCAAAACATGAAAACCAGGGCCAGTGCAAGGGCTAGGCAGAAATCAACAAATCCAAAAGCTCAGAGAGGATGGCTCAGGAGCTTTCCCAGAGCACCATCTGGTGGACATCTGGCAGCTACAGTCTGGTTACTCAAAAAATACCTGCAAACTCTAAACTTGCTGCCACCATCAGCTGATATGCATACCTGGATGAGGTCCAAGATCCCAAGTTCGCTTTCTGATGAATCCACACAAAACACAAAGTAGAGGGTTGCATAGTGCCGGTAAATCAGTTTGTAGTCAGAGCCACCAATCAAACTGGAAGACGGAAAACATTAAAATGCCTGTTCCTTAAGTAAATACATCAGAGAGAAATCTTGTGCCAAAGATTTTTAAAGGGCCCAGTAGGCCAAATGCTAGAAGTAGGCCATTTATATTAGGAAGTAAGTTTGGCAGAGGTAGCCACTCACCTTTGCTCCTGTCTATCCTCTCAAGGATCAAACAACGAAACGAGTAATATCTGAAGACCTAAAGAGAATCGGGTCTCTCCTTGAGCAAATCATGGTAAGACCAGTGCAAGTTGCATCAGGTACCCACCTGACACTGGAGTACTACCAGAAGAAGCAATAGTGATGAAGGCCCCCAAAAGTGTCCAATGGAGAGAAAACTGAAGCTGACAATTTACCTTCCACCCTCCAAGAAGTTACAGATGTTGTCATCCCGCTTGAGGACTAGATGGAAAGTCTCTCGAACAATCTGCTGTTGGATTTCTTCTGGCTATGAAACAAGAAAGATTAGAATGAATCAGTGAACAAGCCTGAAAAGCTATATCCCATCGACGGGGATGGACGGGGAGACAGGTGTTTCCAAGCTAGGAACTAAACATTTAATACTAGTTTCCAGAAAAGATAAAAATGATGAGTAGAGACGAATAGGCAGTGAATCTATGAAAAATGGATGACGCTGGGCTCGGTGGCTCGGCCTGTCATCCCAGGCTGTGGGAGGCTGAGTGAGTGGACTGCCTGAGCCCGCGGGTTCGAGACCCGCCTGGGCAACTTGGTGAGACCTCATCTCTACAATAAATCAAAAAATCAGCCAGGCATGGTAGCGCATGCCTGTAATTCCGGCTACTTGGAAGGCTGAGGCGGAAGGATCGCCGGAGCCCAGCAGGTCGAGGCTGCGGTGGCCGGGAGCGGCCACTGCACTCCAGTTTGGGCCACAGAGTGAGACGCCAACTCAAAAAAAAAAATAGAAAAATGGATAACAAGGCTCTGACACAGGAATTAGATAGGGTATATGCCAGGTGCGGAGGCTCACATCTGTAATCCCAGCACATTGGGAGGTGGAGGTGAGAAGATTACCTGAGCCCACGGGTTTGAGACCAGCCTGGGCAACTTGGCAAGACCTCAGCTCCACAATAAATAAACAAATAGCTAGGCGTGACAATAAATAATAAATAAACAAATAAACAGCTAGGCATGACAGCATGCGCCTGTGGTTCCAGCTACTTGGAAGGCTAAAGTGGAAGAATCACCTGAGCCAAGTAGGTTGAGGCCGTGATGGCCATGAGTGTGCCACTGTACTCTAGCCTCGGTGTCACAGTGAGACTCTGACTCCAAAAAAAAAAAAAAAAAGTACACTTACCTAGATATTCAGGTCTCTAACCATTATTGTCCTCTAGGTAAGCTGATATTTAAACAAAGAAAGGAGCACTGATAAAACTCTCACACAAAGTTTAAAGAATAACTAGAAAGCCTGATCTTGAAGCATTTTGTCTTCCCCTGAAAAATATCTATGCCATGTAAATAATAAATCTCAACAGGTCTAACACTTTAAGGTCAAGATGTAATCATGTACATGTTTTTAAAAACTGAATTTTTAATATTTTGTACTGGTAATATAGATACTATATATAAGACGCTGTGTTATACCCCAACAAGTTATTATTGAGAAAAATACAAAAGCTTCTATTTACAGATTAGAATTCTGAACAATCACAGAGCTATAAAGTTTCGTTTTTCACATACTATTCACTTTTTATACATTCAGAGTGCAACCCTGATGAAATCACTTGATCACTCACATTTGATTTCTACTTATACATATGAGTTTCATAGTAGTATGGTTAAAAAAAAAAGATGGGAGTAGAAGTCAATCATTAAGACAGAAAGTAATTAAAAGCACTAGACCAGTGCTTCTCAAATCTTAATGTGCAATGAATCAGCTGGGACTGTTGTTAAAATGCAGATTCACCAGCCTGGGCAATTTGGTGAGACCTTGTCTCTACAATAAGTTTTAAAAAATAAGCCGGGTATGGTAGCGCATGCCTGTAGTTCCAGCTACTTGGAAGGCTGAGGCAGAAGGATCGCCTGAGTCCAGCAGGTCAAGGCTGTGGTGGCCGTGAGCGTCTCCAGCCTGGGCAACAGAGTGAGATTCTGACTCAAAAAAAAAAAAAAAAGCAGATTCTGAGTTACTAGGCCTGGGTTAAAACCTGAGACCACAGGTCAAATTAATTCCCAGGTAATATCAATCCTGCTGGCCTGGGGACCATACTTTGAGTAGCAAAGCATAACAAAACCTTCAAACAGGACTTGCCCTAAGAGTCAAAAAAATAGATTCAAGTAATTTTAATCCCTTTCTTTCTACAGTACTGAATTAAGGTTTTAAATGTATTTCAAAGAAAGAAAAAAAAAACAGGGAAAATTCATTGACTTAACATTGGAATGGCTATCAGTATTTACTGAACATGTGAATGAAAACTTGCTAATCACTGGTCACTATAAATTTGAGAAAAATCAGTCCTTATTTTCTTCAATTCCAGTTAAAGAACACATAAAGCCCACAGGTGACAGGATGCTTTAAAGGACTAACTCTATGCTGTGAAATACAAAACATGCTAAGCACCAGCATGTTTTTAAACTGATAAAAACATCTTTTGAACTAAAACCTTTTTTCTGATTCTAGTGGGTTGTAGGAGCAGTGGGGAAGTGGCATAAAAAGGTAAACTACCAATTGTTTACATGCCTCGGTGATTTTAATAGCCCCTCATATCTTTTTAGTACTCTGCAGTTTTCAAGGTACTTTCACTTATGAGTTCACAAGGATCTTATAAAAATCCTATGATCTCCAAAGATATAAAAATGGTCAATAGGCACATGAAAAGATGATCAACATCATTAATCATTATGCAAATACAATCAAAACCACAATGAGACACCACTTTACACCCACTAAAATACCTTTTTTTTTTTTTAGGTTGGAGTCTCACTCTGTCATCCAGATTGGAGTGCAGTAGCACGCTCCCGGCCACCGCAGCCTCAACCTGCTGGGCTCCGGCAATCCTTCCACCTCAGTCTTCCAAGTAGCTGGAACTACAGGCATGTACTACCATGCCCAGCTAATTTTTTTGATTTATTGTAGAGATGAGGTCTTGCCAAGTTGCCCAGGCGGGTCTCGAACCCTCAGGCTCCGGCAATCCACTCATCTCAGGCTCCCAAAGCGCTGGGATTACAGGCTGAGCCACTGAACCCAGCACTAAAACACCTTTAATCAATAAGACATAACAAATGTTGGTGGAGATGTGAAGAAACTGAAATCCTTATAGATTGCTAATGACATGGTAATGGTGCAGCCAGTTGGAAAATAGTTTGGCAGATCCTTAAAATGTTTACCATAGAACTGCCATATGACCTAGCAATTCTACTCCCAGTTATATAACCGAGAGAAATAAAAATCCATCTCCACACAAACTTGCACAAGAATGTTCATAGCAGCATTATTCAGAATCAAAAAGTAGAAACATCAACTGATGAATGGACAATCAACATATGGCATATCCACACAATGAAATATTATTCGGCAATAAAAAGGAATGAAGAACATCAGATACATGCTACCACATGGATGAATCTTTAAAATATTATACTAGGCCAAGCTCTGTGGCTTAGCCTATAACTGCAGCACTTTGGGAGGCCGAGGCAAGTGGACTGCCTGTGTCCACGGGTTTGAGACCAGCCTGGGCAACTTGGCTAGACCTTGTCTCGACAATAAATCAAAAATTAGCTGGGCGTGGAAGTGTGCACCTGTAGTTCTGGTGACTTGGAAGGCTGAGGCAAAAGATCACCAGAGCACAGCAGGTTGACGCTGGGATGGCTGTGACTATGCCACTGCACTCTAGCCTGGGCAACACAGTGAAACTCCAACTCAAAATATATATTTACTATACTAAGTAAACGATGACACAAAAAAATCACGTATTTTATGATTCCATTGTCATGCAATGCACAGAATAGGCAAATCTAGAGAAAGAAGATAAGTGGTTGCCTAGGGCTGGGGGAGTTAATGGAGAAATAGGGAGTGATTGCTAATGGGTAGAGGTTTCTTTTTGGGGTGATGAAAATGTTCAAAATTGACTGTGGTGATGGCTGCACAGTGCTGCAAACACACTAAAAACCATTGGCTTGTACACTTTAAATAGGTGAAGTGTATAATATGTGACATATCTTTGTAACCCTGCAGAAAGAAGGGGAAGAATTCACACACAAAAATGCAAACACAAATAGAATAGTTACATTGAACTATCATAGTTTTGCCTCGGTCTAATCTGTTTAATAAATGTAATATAGCTTGTAAAATCCTATGAAGGGGTAAAATTATTTTTTCATTTCTATTTGACAAAAGAGGAAATAAAAGTCCTTAAAAAGTGTATTAACTTGTCAAACAGACACAGGAGTAGAAAAGGTGGTGCCTGTGCCCTAAACATCAGTTTTCTGACTCTTTTCCCTCTTCAGTTTCACCAGTCCCCCAATGACATAACATTTTGAAACCTAGCAATGAAGAAATAAAATCTTGGGAAGCAGAAGGCAAATAATGTCTGTGCTTTTCCAGGGGAACGATTTTGGAAAATTCAAATTTGCATGATCATTTATTGAGCCCTCGCGCGGCACTATTTATAATTCCTCATCATTTTTCTTTCCCACTTTTAAACTGACTTTCTTCAACTCTAGAGAGTAAAGGATATCCAGTTCCTGGCGCGTCTCAGCCAACACAAACAAAATAATTCCAAAAAAGAACTTTCCCAGACCCTCTGGCTAAAAGAAAAACTTTTAAGAAGCTGAGTGTTTCGCGCTCCTCGCGAAACTGCGGTCAACAACTAAAAAGATTAAGAACGTGACTCAGTCATGCTAGTTTTCGAGGAGGCACACTCCCCACTGTCGCTCCTATATCTGCTGCCCTGAGACCCAAGGGAAAATGTCACAGAAATGCCAGGGTCCAGAAAGAGTCCAGGGAGAAGGGGATGTGGGGCAGAGGCTTGGCGGCGGCCCACCCAGGGACACTGGTTACGCAGGGCTAGGGGCACGGGCAGTGGTCAGTGAGAGGTGACCCCGGGCGCCGAGGGACCAAGGGGGAGGGAAGAGGGCGCGGGCGCACTGAAGGGGGTGATGAAGCGGCGCCGCACTCACGAAACGCTGGTAGAACCGGACCAGCCGCGGCTTCCCGTGGTTGTTGAAAACTAGAATCGCCTGAATCATCTTTGCCGGCCAAGCTCCACTCAGCACCGGCTACTCCCAGAAAGTGTCTCCTTCCGCCACAACAAGGTAACTTCCGGTTGGTGCGCGCCGGAGAGAGGCACCCGGAAACTTGGCCACGGCGCCCAGGAGCCCGAGCATCGAAAGGTCCGGCCTCTCTGACGCCATCAAGGGGGTGGCGGGGTCGCTTGCGGAGGAAAAGTGAGGACGTCGTGGAGCGGCATCCTCTCGATTCGCGTCGGTTGGCCA